TACATAAAGGATAATAAATAAAAGGGTAAGAAATTAGGTTGTTTTCCAATAAACGTTTAATTTAAAGTCTTTAACTAGACTTTTGCACAAGTGCTTCATAACACTTTGAATATGGCTTTGGATGTCAAGTTTAATTTGTTTAATTTGACTTTGTTCCATATTTCACATGTCATCCAAAATTGTACTTTGCCCTTTTGAATACGATATGACTACCCTAAATTACCTAATTCAAACTCAACTAAGAATACTTCAATTCCTCATCGACTTTAATCACGAAATCAATGAAGATGGAGATTTGCATGCTAATCCCATCTTCTTTGAATACCACTAATTCATCTAGATCTCTTGTGATTAATTTATTCGTTTCTACATGTTCTTCTTCTTCTTTAGTTGGTTTCTCGAGTTGGATAATAAAGAGATCATCCATTGGCATGTTATATGGCTCATCTGAAATTACTTGATATTCAATCCATTTATATTTTTGCATGATGATGTCTTTCGTAACTATCTCATCGTCATCATCTTGTTTTGATCATCAAATATAGGTTTTCTTACTTCCTCTGAAGTCACTAATAACAAGCAATTTTTTAAAGATGAAATGCTCCCACAATACTTACAAGTTGGTTTAATCTCTCCATAAACAATATATTTGATATTTAGTCCTTTCGGAAAGCCATCCTTATCAAATACAATAGGTTGATTGTATCCCTACTTTTTAAGTTTTTGTCTGAAGAGGAATTCTCCAAAAAACATGTCACCTTCATTTAAGTCGGGATCAATCATTGTGAATTTTTTGATCTCTAGCTTCTTTTTATTCCATATCAGTGAAGCAAAGGAAAAAAAAGTAGATCAACTAAAAAAAGGAAAAAAAAATCAAACAAAAGTAAAAAATAATTAAGACCAATATTAAATAAAAATAGTCCCATACAGCGGCGTCAAAAACTTGTTGATTTTTATATCCTGCAAGTTTACGGATCGTAATAAATAATATAGTGGATCAATGAGTCCGAATATCTTTCCCACGAGAACTACTAGCTAACAATTGGTTAAATTATTCCTAACTTTAATTTTATTAAAAAAAAACAAATAATAATGTTTTGTGATTGGTGTCTAAATTATTGGATTAATAGCAGAAAATTCCCTAGAAATGTTTTTATTTGCGATATGCTCCCTACTTATTGGAGATAGCAGAAAAACCCCATATTTAAAATTTTGTGCGAAAAACTCCCTACCGTCAAATTTTTCGTTAAAAATAGTAAAAACGTCAAAATTTAAAAGTAATAATTTTAATTTTAATATCCAAACTTTTTATTCTATTACAAATTATACCCAAATTTATTTTATATACCATTTTCAATCCCAAACCTTTAAAACTTTATTTTCCTCCTCACCCCACTTCATCTTCTTCCCTAAAATTAATTTATCTAATTAGAAATTAAGGTCAGAAGTACAACGAGTTGTAACCTAAGCTAAAAGTTGTAGTTTCATCAAATATATTCCTTTAGCTCCCCATCTATCTAAAGTCAATCTGCCACCACCCTCACCAGCAAACAGTGAGAATGGTGCCATGTATTAATCTTATTAATTAAGTAATTAAACCCCATTAATCTCCATTAATCCTTCTCTAATTACCAATTCTCTCATATATACATCTGAAGTTCAGCTTGCATTATACCAACCTGTCTTAAAACAATGCCCCATGATCAGATGGTTCTTTAATTTCAACAATGTGAGTTATGGGCCCCGTCGATTTTGTCCTCTCTTTCGCTTTCTTATCTTTCTTCTTCTTCTCAGATCCACTATTATCACTTGCATTGGACACTTTAATCGTGTACGTCCAATCAATTGGGGAATCCCAGCCCTTCCCCTTAATCTTAGTCGTCAATTTGTAATTCTTCTCCAAACCCTTCTTGTGATCCTTGGAATCCTTGATCTCCATCGTTCATTTATACTTCCTATCAACCGCTTCTTTCTCTAGACTCTTAATCTCTGCAGTCCGTGTGTACTTTCTCTCCTAGATCTTCTCCTCCGCCTTCACTAGCTGGTAAAATCCCAGTTCCAAAGCTGAAACCTGATCATAGAGAGATTGCAAGTACAAATCAAAGGCGAGCCCAGCTCTATGTTTGACTTGGTGAGTAGAGGTGTAGAAGAAGGCACTTGACTACGCATTGAGGACAACTAAGTGTTTTAAGAGGTGTGCAGTTGATGGAGATCCGGGCTTGAATTTGGCGATGATTTTGCATGTTGTCGAAGCAATTGACTGCAATTTAGGGAGGTTTGAGGATGTTGTGTCTGTTTTGGAATGGGCAATTAAAGTGCCCGAGATGTCGAGGGGTGGAAAATAAATTTTTAAATATTTGGGGTTGTGGGTGGTATATAAAAATTTTTGGAACAATTTGTAAAAAAAATAAAAAGTTTGGATACTAAAATTGCAATTATTACTTTTAAATTTTGATATTTTTACTGTTTTTAACAGAAAATCTGATGGTATGGAGGTTTTTTCGCACAAAATGTTTCAAATAGAGGGGTTCTGCGATTTCCAATAGGTAAGGGGTATATCGCAAATGGAAACGTTTCTAGGGGATTTTCTACTATTAATCCCTAAATTATTCTAACTAAAACTAAATTACCCAGTTTAATGCCAATCAAGATTCATTACTATTGTAGCGTTCGGTCAAATTCTTCTAAAACAATTTACCCATTTCGAATTCTCATTGAGTTTATTAACTAATTCAAGTATATATCTTTTTGTGAATTAACCTTAGTTAAACGTAGTATAAGTTCTAAGAATTCATCTAATAACTGCAATAATTAGTCTATGTATCTCTACACATTATACTAAATTAACAAATTTTACTATATGGTCTAAATCTAAAACTTACCTCTCGATTCGTAATAAATTCACAAAATTATTGAATAATTGGCCAAAGAATTCAAAGCATTAAATTCATGAATAAAATCAACACATATGCATTTAAAGAACTAGAGTCTTGAAAAAAAGAAATAAAGTATCACATATAGATTACATTTTTCGCCCTAGTTATGAATTTAGGTACTCATAATAATGAAAGAAAAATAAAAAGAATAGAGTTCATAACAATGTTTTGAAATCTTGATCATGGAAAGAATTTGATNATAGAGTTCATAACAATGTTTTGAAATCTTGATCATGGAAAGAATTTGATCTTACACCAAGAATCTTTTTCAACTTCAGAAGTCTTCAAACCCTAACTCTCTTTGATTTTGATGATTATGTGTTTTTCTTCCCCAAATTGTGTGGAACTCTCTCAAAATGTCAAAAACTTGTATTTATACTCCTCCCGTTTGTACTGAGTATAAGATTTTTTATGGACTTCAAAACGGGTTGCCCTAAATACATCTCGGCGTTGCGAAGACAGCATGGTGGCGCCTCGGAGCCATGGCAACGCCACCTCTTGGGAAAATTTCCGTATTGCACCTTCTTTAGTATTTTTATCATAATTTTCTCTTCTGATAACTGATTGAAGCAATTCAAATTGGGTTGTAAAGATAACCCAAATCACCACAACTTTACCAAAGTAGTAGTTTTACAATTCGAACATTTATTAGGCCAAAAATGGGTCTCAATCTTTGACTGAAAATCTGGAACAACTTTCTGCTGTTGAAAATTGATTTGTGCATATATTTTAGTAATATTTCACTATTTTTGACTTCTAATTGCATCCAATTGACACCTACCATTCTTAAATTTTCATCGTGAGCTTGGTTTCAACTTCTGAGTAAATATACTTGAGTCCCCAAACTTTAGATCTTTCCCCTTTTTCGTCAAATTTCGCTTCTTTCTTTCAAATTCACTTCCTTTCATCGAGTTTCACCAAGTAAACAAAATATACAATAAATTAGAGTATAATTATTCAGAAGAACTATTAAATGTCTATATTTTTAAATTCAAATAAGTGTATAAAATAAACTTATCAATTTGTTCGACATTAAAAATAGTTAGCAGCTTCCTTCAAACTCCCACAAATACGAAATTTCTGAATTTCCAAAAAAAATGTTGAATCCCAACCTTGAGGATCCCCCACCGTCCAGCCCCTAGAGAATCTTGGAGGAGGTAAATTGTGGAATGTGCCTCAACAAACCAGGGTATATGCATGTGTCTGTTTTTAGCGTTTGCATCTCAATCATAGCACCCCCACCCACCCATTTAATGCTGAGAACTGCCCCCAACAATCTTCATTAATTATTTAATCTATATTCGTCACACTTCAATTGCACCTTTGGTACATCATAATATTAGACATTCATATTCTACTTTTTTTTTTCATTTCTTTTATAATGGCATCAATATTTCATTCTTAGGATGAAGTTTTAATGAAGAACATTGTTTTCAGCGCCTTGCTTATGGAGCTTGTCCACACCACGTCGTACGCGGTGCTACCTTTAGAGCGAGCCAGCCAGCTCATCTCAATGTGTGGAGTGAGTCAAGCCCCAATTGACATCCCTAAATGGAATTCAAAGTAAATGATGAATAAGAGGAAAATGATAAATAGGATGAACTGCGTTAAAAATCATACCTGCTACAAATTTCTTTACTATTAAAAACTTTGATAATATTTATTATTTGCTTGTCGTGTGTCTAAATTGATTAAATTATATGAATCCAAGTTAATAAATATTAGCTTTAAGGTCAGCTAGAAAGTGTAAACTCATCAAACTTTAATGTTTTAACTTTCAAACAATAAGTATTTTAACGAAAGATTCTTTCCGTGCATTAGAGTTTTATGACATAATAATCGGCAAGAAAAATAATTAACGTATTTCATTAAACTCTTTCAATAATTTATTCAATGCTGTATAATATATTGTATCAAATATATTCTTGACAACATTTTGCTCCAACAATGGATTGTAGAAGGCTTATTCAAACTCTAACCCTCACTTACCCTTACCCCATCCCGCCCCCCAGTAAAAAAATGTTATGCATAAAGTTATTCTATTGTATTGCTGCATAGCAGTGTCTACTTCTGCCAAACAGCATATCTGTTGCCGCTAGTGGCAAGAGTCCATTCCTTTCCAGATGGGCACCAAGAACCCTCCCCAATCTTCATGGATATTTTTTCACCAATAACTGCAGCATACAGATTTGGCTTTGCTTCGAGAATTCGAATAGGCGAGTGGCTAGTTATTCCCTGACTACGTCGAATATTCATCTGCAAATGTATTTATATATTAGTTATATTACTCAAAGAAAGCTATTTCAATAGATGATGTACTTAAAAATAGTTTACCAGCTTCACGATTTGGTCATGAATGGAATTTCCCCAGTCGTAGAAATGGTCGTAGAAAACTGATGGTATACCAGGATGAGTGAGAATGTATGCATAGCCCTGTAGAAACCAATGCGACAGAAAGGAATCTTAACATCGGATGCTGGCGTTAACTTAAATAAATTCGCAAAGAGAGAGGTGAGAAGGTGACATTAAATCAGGCAAAAATATGGCATTAAAAAGTTAAAAAATAATGAAAATGTACTTCTCCCAGTGCACTGACCATCCATTTTTTTATCCGAAGATCTAAACAAATCCTAGAATGTCTCATTAATATAAGGTGTTAGAAACAACTGGACGTAAGAAAATACATTTTAGAACAAGAAAATTATGTGCAATACATGGAGACGTCTGATTTTACGAAAAAGTACTCAAATTCCTCAAATAATCTAATAGAGAGAATTTTATGTAGAATACCTCCATGATATGATTTGACGGAAAAGGCCAATGAGCCTGCAAAAAAAAAAAAAAAATATCAGCAACTACTTGCAAACTCCCCAGTGATGGCATGCTTTAAGATATAGGGGACGCATAACGAATGCCCATTGAGCATTATGGAGAATAAAGAATAATATCATGCATAATTTCTGTTAAGAGTATTATTTTACGGCTACTCATCTCCATGGAAATGAAGACGTACAAATTGCAGTTATCAAACTATTCATATCACTAAATTAAACCAATTTGTCTTTCAGGTCTCTATTACAGCCCAAACAGGAAAGAGGTAAAACAATTTTGGTAGAATTATGCTCTGGCACCTTTCCTGCACTTGCAATTTCCCATTAATAAATTGTTTTTGCCGAGACATCTTCTTGAATTTATCTGGTCTATTTCACAGATATTTGAAGGAAAAACTTGTACCTGAGTTGATCCAGTATCATGATTATCAAGAAAAGTAACAGCCCTTGAAGGCCACCATCCCATAACACCTGGTGGCTTCCCCTGTGGATCCCGGAGGCGCCATAACTCTCCTTTAACAGCTTGCTGAAGGGAGAAGCAGAACATACATAAAGAATGGTGAAGAATTATTCTTAGAATACGAATTTACTTTTTGTGTTTGTCTAGGAGAAATTATAAGTAGCTGAATTATAATCGAGAGAAATAAGCACCGGATAAGTAGGTAGTAGTTGTGGGTCTTACGAAATGTGTAGTTAAAATTAAAATTTGACTTTGACCTTTAAATTATAATGAGATTATAAATTAAACCAAATAAGGTAAAATGGTTTAAAACCTTGTCCTTTAAGATCAACATATACTCAGTTCTAAATGACTTATAAATTACCTGAAGAATACCCTTTGTTGTGAAGTCAAATGCAGTTGCAATTTTCCCCGTATTATCAATCCAGTCAATAATCCTTTGTCTGTGACTATCTGCAGATGGGGTTAGTGTAGGGAGAGGTGATTGAACATATTGATAGAAGTTCTACTCAAGAAAAAGCTTGTGTTTTAACATGAGAATGTCTTCTCTGCTCCCAACAAGTGATGAATGTTTACAGAATCTTTAATAAAATTTTGTGGATAAAGTGTGAAATAAACAGTAGTACTTCACAGAAATTATACTCAATAGCAAAGAGGAAATTACAATTGAAACGTCATTGTCACAACCCTATAAACACAGAGTGGACTTTCCAAAATCAAGCAATAATTTATGGGATGGAGTGAGTATTTAAATATCAATACAATCTTCATCCACTTAACAATGTTCGGAGTTGATCGAAAATAACATATGGATCTACACAATCAAATGGGGGACTCCAACCTAGTATATAAGTTCCTAATGTTGCACTTTTACTAGTGACACTATACCAAAAATGTAGCTATTAGTAAACATTCTGGTTTATTGTAAAAAAATTTAAAGAGAAGAAATCTAGTTCAAACATTTGATTTATTGCACCTGTGCAACCTTTATATGCAGCTTCTTTGTTCTTTATAATTTAACTGCAACTATTCGATCTTTATGAATTTCCATAGAAAAAAAAATACCTTGATTGTACTCCAAGTAGTGGCCTTTGTAATTGCAAGAATCCCAATATTCCCCAACCGATAATATGGGCTTCGTATTCTCAATGTATTCCTTAACATATTTCGCAGAATAGCTAGATGGATCAAGAAATCTCTATCAGCGAATTGATTTACGAATAGAGAAATGTAGACAGCAAACAAAAAAAGGGGAAGTACAATCTTAAGGATTTAAATGGAAAAAAGTTTTAAATCCTTACCCTCTTACAAAGTCAAAACGGAAATCTTGGAAGCCAATAGTATTACGTAGCCACCTAAGCCAGTTAATAATGTCTTTCCTCACAAAGTGTTGAGTATGATCAATATTCGGAACACCATGAAAGTTGTCCCCAGTGCTTTTATTGCCCTAAAATCATGAAATTGACAAATAAAAAGCGTAAATACGAAAGAAAAATCACTTTCCATGAAATTGAAAAATGAGAAATTTGGTTACCAGTCCACCAGTACAAGATGTCACAGCACGTTCATCCCACGATAATGGAATTCCATCATAACGGTTATACTTCCCACCATGCCCTCGTGTAGTTCCAACTCGATGATTTATGACTATGTCGGCCATCGCTCTAACTTTGTACTGCTTCATCTTATTAAGTAAAGCTTTTAACAGGTGCTCAGAACCATATGAAGAATTAAGAGAATAAAGGTTCTGGGGAAGGTAGCCTGCATTGAAGAGATTAAACGTGCAAAAAATGAATTCAGAGGAAAAAAGCAAGGTATAAGATCGAGTACTAAATTATGATATGCTTTTATTTTAACCTTCGGGTGCAAATGAATTGGATGGTGGAGGCAACCAGGCAGATGTGAAGCCAGATTTTGCCATATCAGGAACCTTTCTCTCTAAGTTTCTCCACCAATCATGTTTATGAGATTCCCAGTTGAAGGCCTGTTACAACAACTAGTTAATATTTCTCCCCATGCTTATCCATTTATTTGGTGAGTGAGTGCTTTTCTCTACTACCAAGAATCAAAAAGTCTAATATTACAACTTACCTGCAGTAAAATCTCTTTCCCGCTGCTAATAACTGCTGCTGCAAATTGATTGAAACCACATTTTTAGTTTTTTATACATATTAGATTACTCAATAGTTAAAGGATATTATATTAAAATGCATGTCAAATTAAAAATTAGTAAAGCAGAAGATAGATCTTGATGATTGAGAATGTAATACTAACTGCCCTTTCTATCATCTCAGAATCAATTCCTCTCCACATATCATCGTGCTTTCCAGTGTTTGAAGATATTGATAGATATGATAACGATTTTTTAGTAGGAGCAAAAGAAGAGTGGGTGATAAATATAGAAGGGGAAAAAGACACGTTATATTTATTTTCCATTCTTTGGTTGAGTTCTTCATAAATCCCGTATTGATGATCACATAAACACTTTCCCCATCAACCCACTGACACCGAATAACACTTGGGCAGTGAAGAAGCTACAATAAATTCTATATCATTGGCAAAAAGAAGGAAGAAAGTGTCAGGAGTTATGTTGTATTGACAATTATTTAGACAAAAGGATAATTATAAAAGACTACGATTGTTATAAAAGAGTTGTAAAAGTCAAGAAGTCTTTTGGGGTTGTATAGATGAATTAGGAGTCTTTGAATTCGAGTATAGAACAAGGAGAAAAAGTCGTCAGATTTACGCTAGTTTGTCGCCTAGCTAATGCTCAAGCGGAAAAAGCAGAATCATTGTCATCCGACTCTTGCTCGAACAACGCACCTCTTGCTCGTCTATCGCTAGCTTGGCGCTTGAATGATGGTGTTATACATAAAACCGTAGTTTACGATTTCAAGAGTTATATCTATCATATACTACCCAAATACCTCATATTATAAATACCGCCCATTACGATTTTGGTGGGTGGTTAATCATTATATTACATCTTCATAACATTATTCCAAGATCTAAGAACACATCCAAACATTGAGATTAAATATTTGACTCTTGAGATCAATTAACCACAAGTTGGAAAAAATATCGAATTCAAATAATCCAAAACACATGCTTCCTAGATATAATCAAGATGGTACTTTCTCAATAACTTTCAGAGGTTGCTGAAAATTGAGGGAGGTTGGACCCGAGCAAAGGAAGAATACAAGAACAAAGTGTTCTTGGTGATCCACAGAAGATAGACAATTTCAAAAGAACGGGAGCAGGTGTGAGTAAAGCACGTTCCAGGGGGTCTTGGAGATTGTAGAAATTAGATCGGCAAGTCTAGTGGATTTTTTTTTAGACTGAATCATATTGTAAGTTCATATTGTCTATAGTGAAAGTTATTAACTTGGTCTCAGACTTTTTATCGGGTTAAGGGTTTTCTACTCAACAAATCTTGTGTTATTTACAGCATTAATTATTATTGTGGCAATTCAACATAGGCTAAACTTGACTTGATTGGCTAAACATTTAGAACAATTAAGAAGTAACTTGTTGCTTTTAATTTGTAAGATTAATTCCGCGTTATTCACCATTCACCCCCTCTGTGTAATTTTAAGGTCGAACTAGTAACTTACAAAAAGTAACAATGATAAAGAACACGGTGTACATGGATAGGATCGAGAATCTAAACTGCCACATGATTATAGAAAGAGCAAAAGATATACGAACGGAAGGGTAAAAAATACCAGAGTCAGTTTGCTGTTGATCAAACTCCTGCATTCAATAAGAGATGATTAGAGACAACACAATCTTATCCAATATGCATATACTCAATCAGCAAGTATGTCATTTTGTTTTCTTCATATATTTTATCGATATCAAAAATTAAATAGATAGAGAGCAAACTTGGATGCCTACATTGCTCGTGTAACCCATGATGGATCAAATTGAAGTTTCCAAATATCTGATAGTAGAACAGATGAAGTGGAGAGCGAATAAATCCCTGCATCCACATTAAACCCATTATTGACAGTTTCACTCCATTTGTTGCATTACGAATACAGAATATCACATAATCACAAGAATGTAACGTTATGTCCTGCTTAGTGACATGGAAAATGGGCACTTAAGTTTGATTTGGAAACGCTTGCATTCAAATTTGAATTGGTTTTTCCATGATACCAATCCACGCAATTCCATGCTGCCAAACACTAAACATGCATAAATTATTCACGTCTAAGGATTATGGTGTGCCAATTTCAATAATGACAAAACCAAATGCAGAAATATATTAGAAAATATGTGTGCCAATTTACTTATATTTGCAAACTTTGACTTTAAACATAATTTCGGATTCCAAAATATCCGGGATAAGGTCGAGTTCATTGTTGTTGCAGTGGACTGTAGCAAAACTAAATTGCATAGTTTCTCACGTCAAACAGAAAGTTATAAAGAACTGTCTTGACACAAGTTAAAAGGACATTCAATAATAATTCGAATGCAAGACACGCAAATTTTCAAAAGCAATCGCTTGAACTAAATTATTTATATTTAGCTTATCAAAATATAAATATCAATAGAAGTGCAGAACCCAGAAAAATTCAGTACTAAAGAAGAGAAACAAACCCCAAATGCAGGCTCCTGAAATAGCCAATTCCAGCTTAAATTAAACCATAAAATTGACGATCTTATATAGAGTGTGTAAAAAGCTCAAAAGTGTTAAAATTCCGTCAATAGAACAATGAATTCTCAGCCGTAAGAAAGAAAGGAGGGAATCATAAATTTACGGTATACAATTCTTGGACAGCAAGGAGAATATAATTCGTTGATAGTTAAAAGCAAAAACTTTCGTAGCTGAAATTCGCTTATGGTGATCAAGTGGAATTGACATTGCGAATATAATCGTCGATAAAAAAAGCAATTTTTTTTTTTTGGGCTATGAAATTCGCTGATTGTGAACAAAGTGGAAGAGATATTCGAGGATTTCGGGAAAGGTGGTGGGAATATTGGATTTTACTTTTCGTAGTTGATCTGAGTGGGAGTGTCCATATTCGATTTTGACGTAATGTCCCGTTAGAATTATAATTGGACAGTTCAAAATATAATCAACTTTTTCATCCAATCACTTCTTATCAATGCGTATTATGTTACACTATCAATCACTTACTTTCTGACAAGAGTAATGTTATTCATCCCCGGTGGAGATGAAAACATAGTCTATGTAGCTTTAAATGATAGGTTAAATGATAGATAAAATTAAATAAGTCATTTAATTTTAACGATCATTTAATGTCACATTAACGCAACATAGACAGTGTATTGATTCCCAGTAGGGATGACACTACAACAAAAATAGCCATTAGCAACATTTAAAAGGCAACATTTATCAATAAATGTTGCCAAAATGGTCTTTTGGCAACATTTTAGTAAGTGAATGTTGCCAAAGGTTAATATAAATGAGTTTTCGCAACGATAATAATGACAAAACCAAATGCAGAAAGATATTAGAAAAAATGCGTTCCAATTTACTTATATTTGCAAACTTTGACTATAAACATAATTTCGGATTCCAAATTATCCGGGATAAGGTCTAGTTCCTTGTCGTTGCAGTGGACTATAGCAAAACAAAATTGCATAGTTTCTCACGTCAAACAGAAAGTTATAAAGAACTATCTTGACACAAGTTAAAAGGACATTCAATAATAAAAAGCAATCGCTTGAACTAAATTATTTATATTTACCTTATCAAAATATAAATATCAACAGAAGTGCAGAACCCAGAAAAATTCAGTACTAAAGAAGAGAAACAAACCCCAAATGCAGGCTCCTGAAATAGCCAATTCCAGCTTAAATTAAACCATAAAATTGACGATCTTATATAGAGTGTGTAAAAAGCTTAAAAGTGTTAAAATTCCGTCAATAGAACAATGAATTCTCAGCCGTAAGAAAGAAAGGAGGGAATCATAAAAGTCCGGTATACAATTCTTGGACAGCAAGGAGAATATAATTCGTTGATAATTAAAAGCAAAAACTTTCGTAGCTGAAATTCGCTTATGGTGATCAAGTGGAATTGACATTGCGAATATAATCGTCGATAAAAAAAGCAATTTTTTTTTTTTTTTTGGGCTATGAAATTCGCTGATTGTGAACAAAGTGGAAGAGATATTCTAGGATTTCGGGAAAGGTGGTGGGAATATTGGATTTGACTTTTCGTAGTTGATCTGAGTGGGAATGTCCATATTCGATTTTGACGTAATGTCCCGTTAGAATTATAATTGGACAGTTCAAAATATAATCAATTTTTTCATCCAATCACTTCTTATCAACACGTATTATGTTACACTATCAATCACTTACTTTCTGACAAGAGTAATGTTATTCATCCTCAGTGGGGATGAAAACATAGTCTATGTAACTTGAAATGATAGATAAAATTAAATAAGTCATTTAATTTCACTGATCATTTAATGTCACTTTAGCAACATAGACTGTGTATTAATCCCCAGTGGGGATGAATAGCATTACTCTTCGGACAAAGTAACATTATTCAATGAAGAAAGAGATCACAATTTCCTATATTCGACTTGTAGTGCTTATATCGAGGGACGAACGCGGACAATTAAAGTTGGGTGGACACATCCCCCCAGGCCCACCCCTAGGTCCACCAGTACTTATACCCATCAACCTTTTTACATATATTCTGTTAGATATAATTAGATATAATATTATTGTATAATATTTAGTTTCATTTTTGTTTCCTTTATTTTGTAGTATATAAACTCATTATAATTTATTTTGCCCTAATTTTTGGAGGTTCTTACAATCGGTTTTCTTCCTTCATCTCTTAGTTCTTCTCTTTTAATTTGATTTGTATTATTCACATGGCATCAAAGTGATCCTTCTAGGGTTTGTGATTATCTTTTACGTCCTCTTCTTTCTCTTTTCCTTCCATTTTCCCTTTTCTTTCTTTGTTTCTTCTTTCCGTCTCCAGCTGCTGGTCTCGATCATCATGGTTGGGAATTGGAGTAGTAGTTGTTGATTAAAGAAAAAAACCTGAGTATCTATCAAAGCTGTCTCTAAATCGAAGCGGTTGTGGTGTTGTTGATCAGGGTCTAGGTCTGTAGGTTGATTTTTGGTGCAATATATGTCATTGTTGGTGTCGCGGTGTGCTCTGGGCTCGGTTGTTGGTGTTGTGATTATTCTGGGCTCCAGTTATTTTAGTTATAGGCCTTAATAATTTTGTTGGGTTCTGATTTGTGGACTTTTATTTTGGGTCTCAGTTATTGATTTGTGGATTGATTAGTTTTATTTTGGACTTGTTTGTGGTAACTTGTTGGTTTAATAAATATTGTTGTTTGGTTTTGCTAAATTGTTGCTTATTGACTTCAAATGGCAATTGTTGCAAACAAAAGGGACATTGGAAGTCTCAATGTCCTAAACTATTGAAGAAGCAGCAGCCACAACCACATCAGCGATCCTATCGTCACAATGCTACAAAGCTGCCACCGTGCCACCTAGTGACTCGTCTATACTTGGAGCACCACCTTCCTATACTCTCATGTTGAATGATTTAGCAGAGTGATTTCAGAAGTTCTTAGCCACACAGCTACATGCTATGTCAGCCTCTACTCATATAGGTTTGTCGTCTCAGAGTCATTTAGGTATTTCTTTCTCAAAGATCTTTGACTCAGGTATTTCCAAACATATGTCGTCTAACTCAAATTTTTTTAATGATTTGCGTCCTTCTAACTCATCTATGTCTGTTATGACTACTGATGGCACACCATTGACTTTAACAGGTGTTGGTTCTGTTAACACACATAATTTATCACTTTCAGATGTCTATGGTGTTCCGTCTCTTACTTTGAATCTTATTTCTATTGGTCAATTGTGTGATTCTGGATACTTGGTTTAGTTTTCTTCTACTGCTTGTCATGTACAGAATCCTTGATCTCAAAAGTTGATTGGGATATGCCGTAGACAAGGAGGGTTATATGTATTGGACAATTTGAGACCACCACACGTTGCAGCCTCTGGTGTTGACTTGTCGTCTTTTATTTGAATTCATCATCTTTTAGTTTTTATTTTTGCCATTCTCGTCATGGACATGTTTTTGTTAGTCGTTTGAAATTTTTAGTTTCTAAAGTTCAATTGGGAGATTTGAAAACTCATGACATTTCTGATTGTAGTGGCTGCAAATTAGTTAAATTTTCTGCTTGATCTTTTTTTCGAAGTGTTTCTCATTCTATACGTAGTAAACTGGAATAAGTGAGAGATGTATGGGGACCTGCTCCTATTGCTACAAAAGGAGCGTCTAGATATTATGTATATTTTATTGATGATTATAGTTGTTATTGTTGGGTTTATCTTATGAAACGACGATTTATCATTCTTTTAGAGCACTTATTAAAACTCAATATTCTGCTATAATTAAGTGTTTTAGATGTGACTTGGGTGGAGAGTATGCTTTGGCTGATTTCTCTGAATTACTTGCTCTTGATGGCATAATTCATCGACTCTCGTGTACTAATACTCCACAACAAAATGGTGTTTCTGAACTAAAGCATAGATACATTGTAGAAACTGCTCGTTCCCTTCTCTTGTCTGCCAAAGTTCCTGTGAATTTTGGGGAGAAATAGTTCTCACCGCTATCTCTTTAATTAATAAGATTCCATCTTTCTACATTTCAGATTTATCACCATTCGAAATATTATATGAGCATCCTCCTAATTACTCCTCATTAAGAGTCTTTGGATGTATTTGCTTTATTCTTCGTACTAAAATCGAATGTAGTAAATTGACACCTCGCTCTGCTATCTGTGTTTTCTTAGGTTACAGGTGGGGCAAAAAGGTTATTGTTGTTTTGATCCCATTAATAAAAAATTATATGTTTCTCGTCATGTTGCATTTCTTGAGCACATTCCATTTTTTTCTATCTCTGATAATACTAATGACGTGACTAAACTGATCTTATTCGTATTGATCCATTCTCTTATGATATTGACAGAGCACTTCCCATACTCCATGTATTGTTGATTCTTGTACGCATGCATCGTCTCATGATATTCCTTCTCCTTTTTGTTGCACCCAAGCATCGTTTGGATCGATGATCCATCTTATGCTCCCTCTCTTCCTTGATATCCTCAACGTATTCATAAGTTCACTCAGTTATCTAATTTTGTTTATTCTTGTTATTCTAAGTCCTGTTGTTGTTTTATAACCTCCAATCACAAACTATCTGAATCCTCTTCGTATAAATAAGCTATTCTGGATCCTCGTTGGCAACATGTTATGTCTGATGAACTTCTGCTCTACATAAGATAGACAATTGGGACTTGGTTGCATTGCGTTAAGGTAAACATGCTATTAGTTCTCGCTGGGTTTATAAGTTTAAAACCAAATCTGATGGTTCAATTGAGCATTACAAGGCTAGATTGGTTACTAAGGGTTTTACTCAACAATATTGTCTGGATTATGAGGAGACTTTTGCTCCTATTGACAAGATGACCACTGTTCGTGCACTTATTGCAGTTGCATCTGTTCATCATGTCAAAAATGTTTTTTTGGATAGAAATCTTCAAGATGAGGTTTATATAGTTCTTCCTCCTGGTCTTTCTCACTCTCCTGGATATGTTTGGCAGCTCAAGAAGATACTTTATGGTCTCAAACAAGCACCTCGTACCTAGTTTGAGAAATTTTCCACTGTTGTTACCTCTCTTGGTTTTACATCGAGTCATCATAACTCTGCTTCATTTTTTAGATGCACTTCAACTGGTTGCATTCTACTTTTACTATATGTTGACGATATGATTATTACTGGTGATGATGTTAATGGGATTGTAGAGTTGAAATCAGAATTGGCTCGTCGTTTTGAAATGAATGATTTTGGTGCATTATCTTATTTTTTTGGGATTGAAGTTGCTTCTTCTCCTAGATGTTATCTTCTCTCTCAATCTAAGTATATTATGGATGTTATTGAGCGTACTCTTCTTACTGATACTAAAACTACTGATACTTCTCTTGAGTCCAATACTCGATATTCACCATATGACGGTGTACCCTTAACTGATCCCACTTTGTGTCGCACCATTGTTGGATATCTGGTTTATCTTACCATTACACGTCCAATATTGCTTATGATATTCACATTGTTAGTCAGTTTATTTCGGTTCCTACTACAATTCATTAGGCAAATGTTGTTCGTATTTTGCGCTATCTTTGTGGTACTTGCTTTCAAAGTCTTTTATTTCCATCGACCTCTTCTTTAGTGTTTCGTACCTACTCTGATGTTGATTGGGCCATTAACCCCACCGAATACAAGTTCACTACTAGTTTTTGTATATTTTTGGGTGATTCCCTTATCTCTTGGAAGAGTAAGAAATGGACTATTATTTCTCGTTCCTCTACTGAGTCAGAGTATCATGCTATGGCATCCACAACTAGTGAAATTGTGTGATTGCGTTAGTTACTTGCAGACATGGGTATTTCTTCATCTAGATATTGTGATAATAAAAGCGTTATTCAAATTTCTCACAACTCTGTGTCCCATGAGCATACGAAGCATATTGAGACCGACTGTCATCTGATTTACCATCATCTGCAGACTGGCACAATTTCTCTACCTTTTGTCTCTTCA